GTGTTTTGGGTCCAGTGGGGAATGTCGTTTCCTTGTTTCTCTACTCTTCTTGCTGGGTTTTGGGTTTGATGGGTTAGTCGATTCTTTGTTTGAGGTTCCTTTTTTTTCTCAATTTTTGTGGAAAAGATATCATCTTTTTGTGTGTTTTGGTTCGAAGTTCTCTGTTTTCTCTGTGAATGTATCTTTTTATTCACTTCACATACATTGTTGTTTACTGTTAATTTAGGATTTAGCTAAGGGTTTGTGTTTGTTTTAGCATCTGTTAGTGTTCTTATGGCGTGAGATAGTGAAAGTGTTTCTTTGTTTGTCTATGTCCATTTTAGTCTCTAAAGCTTTACTGAAATGCAAAGCGGATCTGATAGTGAGTGGTTTTAGTTTTTGGGTGGCTTTGCTTGTATCCACCCAAGTGTTTGTCTCCTGATTTTGGTTGGATTTGTTTCATAGGGGGTTTGGCAAGTGGATGCTTAAGCAAATGAAAGGATATTTTGATACTGAGACTGCAAATTCTGAGCAAGAAGATTTACCTGAACATCCTGCTGGTAATGGTGTCTGCTTGTATCTAATGTCACATTTTTTACTCACATGAATAATCAGTGTAATGTTTTTATGTAAGGTGTTTCTTATTCTGTTCAGGGAAAAAGACTAAGGAAAGAAAACGCTACATTCCACAAAGAAATTCTGTGGCTTATGCATTACTAATAACGCTGCACAGGTGATTTAGAGTTTATCTTTGCTCATAATGTACTCTTTGCCTTCCCCTCAGTAAACGCTTCTTCAGGACTGATATGTTTTTGTTTACCAGAGGGACTCCGAATGAGAAAGATTTCATGCGTAAACAACAACTTATTGATGCTGCTGACGCGAGTGGGCTCTCACACGCTCCTGTTGCGTATGAATCAATCGCGTTTCCAATATCTAATCTGTTAATTTTGTACCCAATCATTGCTGTCTGATTTAGTCTTCCATTCTTTTGATTAGGCCAGAGAAAGGAAAAGGGAAAGCAGGACTTGGCATCTCTAAGAGGGAGTGGTATAGCGGATGGAGCTGCATGACGACACTTATACAAAAGGGATTAGTGGTGAAATCTAGCAACCCAGCAAAGTATACACTCATTTCTAAAACTCGTGTATTTTGTGCATTTTTGACTTGTATTATGTATAGAGAAGTAATCATTATACCTTAAGACATTGGATGAGTATTGTTTATTTTCTTAGGTACATGCTGACAGTGGAAGGCCGGGAAGTAGCAAAAGAATGTATTATGCGATCTGGATTATTGAATTCACACGACGATGTATCTGATGATGAAATGGACTTTGCACAGCCATTTGCCGATCCAAAATCTAAGGCAGATTCAGCTGGACCGTCTAGAGCACAAACATGTATGGTCTTTAGCAAGCATATGATCTAATATTCTTAGTGTCGTGTCTGTTAAAAGTTGGATGTTCCATCTTACGAAGTCTTAGCTACAAATTTACAGGTCCAGTTGAAATCTTATCCGATGATGAAATAGATCTTGTACATCCACATGCCAGTCCAAAATCTAAGGCGGATTCAGCAGGACCTTCTAGAGCACGAACTTGTATGGTCTTTAACAAGCATATGATCTAATATCCTTAGTGTTGTGTCTGCTAAAAGTTTGATATTCCATTTTACTAAGTCTTAGTTACATATATACAGGTCAAGTTGATTTAGAGGAATCTCGTGCTAAGAAGTTTCGCCATGATGGATTCAAATTAAATCCGTGTCCATCCAGTTCGAGTCATGCAATGAAAGCCTCCTCATCTTCTGTATGTACCATTTGCGCTCAGTAGATTTTTAGCTATATCTTTTACGATCAGCATCAACTAGATTGCTAATCAGCATTATCTGTTCTTTATTGTTTCATGGTTACAAAGTTAGCTTCAGGTGGAACCGAACGAATTACAGATGTTCCACGCCTTCCTCCTCTTGCATTTGGGGAAATGTTTGAGGAAGCATATGAGGTGATCTTGATACTGGATGATCGAGAACAGTTTGCCACTAAGGGGTTCGTGGAACATTTAATCTTCCTCTGCTCTTCAAGTTTTCTTATGGTTTAGCTATGAAGGTGTGATAATAGCCTCTCTACGTTGTTGTTGGTAACACTAACCCATATCTTCTTATTCACGTGATCCAGGAACAAGGTTGATAACATACGCTCTGAATTCAATATCAAGATTGAGGTTTGCATTTGTTTTCTTGGATAGATATCATTCAGATTCCAAAATTACACAATTTAACTGGAGGATGTTATTGAATCTGTAGGTTAGACGACTATTAGTGGGGGATTGTATCTGGATTGCTCGTCATAAGTACTCTGGGAATGAATTTGTTCTGGACTTTATTGTTGAGAGGAAGAATGTTGATGATATGCGCGCGTCAATTATAGATAATCGCTACAGGGACCAAAAACTTAGACTTCAGGTGTGTGAATTCTTTACTTTGCCATATCTTTTGCTGAGGCTGTTTCTCATTTTCTTCTTAAATTGGTATTCTTAATAGAGATCGGGATTGAAGAAGCTAATATACATTCTTGAAGGGGACCCAAACCAATCTGCTGCAGCAGAAAGCATAAAAACGGCGTAAGAATTTCTGTTTCTTTCAGAAGATTTTGATTGGTTGAGATTGAGAACCAAATTTGTTCTTAATCTATATGCTTTAGTTGTTTCACAACGGAGATTCTGGAGGGATTTGATGTGCTAAGGACACAGGGGCTGGGTGAGACTCTAAGAAAATACGGTTATCTCACTAAATCAATATACCAATACTACAAGTCGCGGATGAATGATGACCAGAGCAAAACCGCAACCTTGTGTCCTTCTTTTGATAGTTTTGTCAAAAGGTGTCAAGACCTCGATAAACCGACAATCAGTGATGTATTTGCCATTCAGCTTATGCAGGTACTGATTTTGTTACTTGTTTAGCCTTTTTTCTCGGTTTTTCTATACTCTGATATGAGTTTAATTCAAATGACAAGAAATGAGGATTTTTCTCTGCGACTTACTGAAACTTTTTGGTGCGCAGGTCCCGCAGGTAACAGAGGAAATTGCCGTAGCGGTTCTTGATAAGTACCCAACACTTATGTCCCTTGCGTCTGCCTATTCTGATCTAGTAAGCCTTATTGCCTGAGAACTCAGAACCTTTTAAAACACAAATTATAGTCTTTGAACTACAACAATCTCTCTCCATTGTTTTTGAAGGAAGGGAATGTGTCGGCGCAAGAAGAGATGTTGAGGAATGGAAGCAACAATGTAATATGTGCATCAGCTAGTAAGAATATATTGAAGTTAGTTTGGGGTGAATGACTTGTACTCTTGTGTGTGTTTGTCCTTTTGATCTTTTTTTGTTGTTGTCT